CTTCTAAAAAAATGGAATTCAATTGGAAATCATCTTCAATAACCAATAACCAAAAACGCAATTTTTTACCTGCCATTACCGTGAAAGCTTTTGTCACTTTAACTGAAGCCAGAGGACTTCACATTTGTGATATGCAATCCAATTGTGTTTGGTTTTGCTGGTAGTGTGTTAAAAGTTGAATTTAAAACTCACAATTTGGAATGATTCTACTTTTCTTTGGATCTGAATTTCTAAGTCAGCACCCTATGGACATTATATGACCAAGAAAATTACTTCATTGTGATTGGCTAAGAGTAGGCTAATTTGTCGTTAATTCTTAATTTGCACTGCAGTACAAATCAACGCACAGGCATTCGAAATTTTCTCAGTCATATAATAAATAAGTAATTGTATGAGAGCTTGAGTAATTAAGGACTTACACTACTCCTGATATTGGAAAATTCTTTCAAATCACACTTGCCTAAAGGCTTGTGCAATTTCGAGAGAACTTTCAAATATAAGGAGTAGTGTAAACCGTATGAATGCACTCGCATTCATACGATTACCTACACTAACACTAACTTCATTCTTCTGGGGTAAATGTTTCAGTCGTCATTGTCATCAATGTCTTGATCAGAGCCTGCTGGTAATGAGGCGTAGAAACATTTTGCAGTTGCAGATAAATATTTCTGAGCTAGCTTTATACAGTCTTACTTAACATCATTGCGAATGGGTTTCTTTTCTAGTCTCACTGGAGCCAAATGTTCAGCCGCATTCAATTCCATGCCTTGCTTTTTCTTCACAAATGAGACAATTCTTGGCTTCTCTTTCGTATCCATTGGAAACCTTATAAACGGGGTTTCTGGGTGCCAGCTTAGTTGTAAGTTCTCCTCCTGATCGGTTATTTCTCCAGAACCAAAATTGATAAACGCGATCTTCCTTACTTCGAATTTCTCGCATTCAATGTCCTCGCTTCTAGCAACGTACTTCATTCTTAGAAAGCTTTTATAGTTCATAATCCAATCCAAATTCACCCAGTAACTTTTAACGTTATTTAAGCGGCTGTTTTGTAGTGTCGTTTCCCACTCCTGTGGAGTTTCAATTTTTTCTTTGGTGTTAAAGAATTGCTGAATACAGCCAAACCGCCTGTCACAAATTGCAACCCCGTTGTGCTTACAAAATTTACCTTTGGCTTCAACTTTATAACAAACCAGTTTGATTTTGACAGTGTGGCATGTTTATAATCTACAGCCCCTACCTTCATCTAGAAAAACCAGACTCAAATTTGCCAAAATTTTGCCTGCCAAAATTTGTTTTCAGCAGTAGATTTTGAAAAAATTCAAACTGGCTGAATTTATTTACATGAAAAAACAAGTCATTGAAAATCACAAAATAGAATTCGTGCTACACTGTTGTGATATTATATCATAGCTGGGGCTGTGAAGTCACATATAGATGGAATTATTTTACAAAGATACTGTAGCTATGTTTTGGTCCAAAAATTTAATTCCATGATGTGCCACTGCCCCTTTAGCAACTTGGAATTAATTCGCAGGTACATACTTGGTTCTACTTGTGAAGAACCTGTGCCAGTTTCAGGAGAAATTCTTGATCCTCCTTCCTTCGCTTCTCCACACTTTCCCCCTCTTGCCTCTCTCTTGCCACTTCAGCTTCGAGGAAGCTCTTGTCAGCCGCTTGCTGATACTCCACAAAGGACTCGAACACTTAATCAAACTTTGCAAATACATCAGAAGCAGTTTTCCTCTGTTTATTTGCCTTTAAGATGGCCGACTGACGGGGTACCAGCTTCTTTGTTTCCTCAGCTTCCGTTGCACTTGAAGGAACAACATGGCAACTGCCAAAACTTTAATCGGTTGCATGAACATCATAGCCAAGAGAGAAATAAAAGATGTTAAAGACTTATGGTATAGTTATCTCAATATTACACTGTAATACGGATAGAACTGTCTTGTATCTGCATGTAACTCTCAAATATGGTATTCAAACATACGGATTGAACAAAACTTTTACAGACGACATCAGATGTTGCTGTTGGACACAATTCTATTATCTGGCCCTCCAATGGGAGAGCATTTTATAACTCTTACCTGTCAACGCTGTCACACAACTGAGAGGTTTGTCAAGGTTTTCTGACTTTTCTTCACTGCTGCCAGGGATGTTTACGTTCGGCTCAACGTTTTCTGCTCATTTTTTCTTCATCATCGTCGCCATCTATGGAAGTTGTTGCAGGCTTTATAATTACCTTCGGTTTGGTACATGACTTGTCCGACAAAAGCTCGTCCACTTTGTCAAAGAAAGCCAGCTTCTTCTTTGGTGTGGCATTTCCCATCTTGGTGCATTCGTCTTTGTAGCTTCTATAGGCGCTTATAAGAGTGTGAATTTGTGTCTAGCAGCTGCCGTCATCTCTGTCTTCATAGCCTGCAGTGCAAAGATATGCCACAACTCTAGCCATACAGGCTTTTTTCTTTTGCATGATTTTAGCTGGGGCTGGATATTCTTGTCTCCCCACTTTTTAAGTAACAAGAACG